ATTTTGAGGAACCAAAATAACAGAGAAAATTCCGTTCCTATTCTCGGATAACCGAATTAATCGAAAGAACCGAAATTCATGAATTGCACTTCACTTACTAGTATTTTGTAAGACAATGTTTGGTTTTTGTGTGACGTCTCATACTGAATTGCTATATATTTGTGTTACTATATTGCTATTATTCCCTTATCAATTATTATTATCTAAATTAGAGGTGGTGTTGTCTAAATTTACTTTATAAAACCTGCATATTTTTTGTTGTATTAACCTTTGCTGAAAAAATTTGATTAGTTTGGTTAGAACCGGAACCGAACCGAAATAACTAAGAATCGAAATGCTCGGTTCCTAATTTTTTTTTTGAACCAATCAGTTTCCATTTTCTAGGAACCAAATTTGATCAATAATCGAGGAACCAAACCGAGAACCGAACGCCCACCCTGACGTGCAGCGCGTGCGTGTCCGAGAGTCAGAGCGTGTGGGGAGCAGCACCCTACTAAAACAAGGTGAAACAACTGAAACATACGGGGGAGCAGCACCCTACTAAAACAAGGTGAAACAACTAAAATATACGTTTACAATATATATGTATAACCACTGCAACATATGCAATATCCAGATAAAACACTTGCAACATACGTCTAAAATAGGTGAAACATTTGGAATATAAACTTGCAACATTTGTGTATAGCCACTGCAATATATGCAACATCCAGATGAAAACATGCAACATCCAGATGAAACAGCTGAAACATTTAAAAAAACACTCGTGCAACATACGTGTATAGCCACTGCAACATATGCAACATCCAGATGAAACACTTGCAACATACGTTTGAAACAGCTAAAACATTTGAAACATACACTTGCAACATACGTGTATAGCCATTGCAACATATGCAACACCAGATCTACTTTTACAACATCCAGATGAAACATATGCAACATACATCTAAAACGCATTAAACATACCGTTGCAACATGTGCTCATCTACTTGCTGCCGCCCGATGAAGGCTCGTTGACGCGGGCATGGGGGAGCACAGTGCGAGGCATGGGCGACATGTGGCACAAAGCGGGTCCGACACGAGGCAGGTCCGTCCCAGAGGAATCGGCTGTAGCGGGCGAATAGGAAAGCGAAGCGTCTAGATCTTTTTTAATAAAATGGAGAAGTCGTGAGGGGAGTTGGGCCGGTGAGACCTGGTCCGCAGGCCCAGTGAAGGCACGCGTCCGCCCGCCCGAACGTTCGTTAGAGAGAATTACCGGTTAAAAAACGGAGCAGAGGGGAAATCGATGACCGACCACAACAGGAAAAGGTGCTTCGTCATATAAGTAAGGTTCTTCTTGCTTTTGGGTCTGCTTGTCAGATCTATATATTAAGGGTTCGATGTAAAATTGAAACACATCTGAGGGTGGAGACCTCAGGTGAGCAGGGGGTTTTAGTTGACATGTATTTTATAATTCCTTTACTCTTTTATAGTATAGATCGATAGATAGATATAAGATAGTATAGATATATTTTTTCATGGTATTTTTTATGCTGAATAAAAATACAACATTACACAAAGGGAAAAAATAAAAATACGACGTTACTGTTAGTTTCTAAACAAAGGGGAAAATATTTTTTCATGGTATTTTTTATGCTGAATAAAAAGACGACATTACACAAAGGGAAAAATAAAAAGACGACGTTACTGTTGGTTTTTAAACAAAGCAAAAAAACTAAAAAAAGCGCAGCGCGCATTTGTCACGCTGTGGCGAACGATTTGGATGTGAGCGTGGGAGACGGAGCTAGCGCGGGCGGCACGCGAATCCGACCGGACATGAAAAATAAAGCAAAAATAAAAAGACGACATAACTGATAGATTTTAAACAAAGAAAAAAAAAGCACAGCGCGCGTTTGTCACGCGCGACGCGGTGGCAGACGATTCCCATAATTAACCAGTTTTGTCAGGCTTTGCCTGCGTGCCTCAGGCGGTGCCACCGGTTTACTAATTGTGATCACGAGTCAGACTCGTGTCATTAGCGTGTGACTGCAAGGGTCACACCGCTGTCTCCGCCCGCGCCCTTATCAAGCGGCGCGCGTTCGCCACGCTCCGCGGTATGGGACTATCCAAGCCAATAGGGCGAACAGGAAACATGACACGAGCCTTGTGTCCAGGCTGTCAGGTCGGAGGCCCACCGATCGGCAAGGAGGGGTTAGAATAGCAATAGCACAGCTCTGATTTCTTCGATCCAGTCCAGTCCCCTGCTTCTGCCCCCGTGTTTTATGCTCGGTAACATATCATACAAAAAAATTTCTGTTTCTCATCGGCTGACGATATTTGGTCTTGGTGTCGATCTGGGGATTAAGGAAAACAAACCTCGGAAATTTCATGCCCCCCTCCTAACATATCATACCAAAAAAATTTGCTAGTATAACTCTATATTTTTTTATTTATATTAAATTCTTTGCGAAATTTTTTTATTTTTTATTTATATTAAAAGAGAGAATATAACAAAATTATTGTCATATATACCTACCAATGTCTTCTAGATAAAAAAAATCACACAAAGCACAATTATATAACAAAATCACCTATATGAGCACATCCAAAATGCAATAGATAATAAAAATTATCCCTATAACAACATCCGAAAGACTTGGCGACTAGATCTTGAGATTTACAAAATCATCATAGAGCCTCGCTGTTAATGGACATGTCGTCTACCACTAAAAAAATAGTGACTTAAATCCTATAAATACATATATAAGAAAATCCGAGCACCCGTGTTAAGTCAATAGATTAACCCAGACGGTCAACGCGAGGAACCTAACCAGTTGAACTTTTTATCGATTTTTACAAGTTGAATCTTTGTAGCTTGCCCTAACCAGTTGAGCCACGCTCGATTTTACAAGTTGGATCTTCGTATCTAGTCACCTCTATGTATAATTCGGCTCTGCCACTGCGTATATCGCAATTACAACCCAACATGTCTCTACTAATCGCTAAGGTTGCACTCCTCAACTAACGATATACTAATAACATTACAAATGATTAGACATTTTCTCAATACCTCGTGGAAGCAAACCAAGAAAGCATGAATAAACAACTTTGTAGTTAGTAGGCTAACATAACCTCTAATGAATTATGCAAAATAAAACCGAGCTACAAAGCTAGGATAACCCAAACTCAAAGTGACAAGCAGCTATGAATAAACAAATAAATTGGACAACAGCTCATGCAAGAGATCATGATAACGTTCACTGTAGCAAAGAAAAATGCTTAAACATTAAAACATGCTATGGCGGAGTACAATGGCTCACGCGTAAAGATCATGAATGATTACTGTAGATAGAAAGTTGTTGGTGCGGTACAGGCGTACAGCTACAGACACAAGCTGTCGAACTGCTGAACTACTCAGAAAGCTCCTGAATGAATGAAGCTGTTGCTGCTGCTGTAAAACCCGAGAGTTCACAAACCTGCACTTATTGTCGATGGACTGCTGCTGCTCCTGCTGAACTGCTGTTGTGCTACTATCTTGCTACTCTGCATGAGCTAATGAGAACCTGCAGGGCCTGCAAGAAACAGAGGAGAAGAGAAAGCAGACAGAGAGGCGCACTGATGAAGAAAATTAAACAGCCTGGCCTCTAGGTTCAGTACAAACCGGAAATTATTAATTAAGAAACCTAGAGGAAATTACTCAAATCTTTGGCACATTAACCCTTCCATTTCAATCGGCAAGAGCAAAAACAAACTCGAGAGACTAGAAAGGACAAGCTCACAGAGAAAAAGAAGAACTGTTGAAAAACAAAGCAGCCTGTAGCAAGAACCACCCAAGCTCCACTGAGACTCTCTGAAAATAACTCAAATCAAATCTGATTCAAACAAAATTATAACCACAACCTTGTCATACCATTAGTGATCCATTCCAACGGAGAACTCCCAACCAGAACCTTGCCATAACATGAGCCATCCATTCCAACAGAGACCTCCTGGAAAGATTGAGAACCTTGCCATACCTTGTCATCAACATAAAATTCGGAACCTTGCCATACCAGGAGTGCTCCGTTCCAAAAGTGAACTCATGAAAAGATTGAGATTGTCATCACCGTAAGATCCGGGAAACCCTCAAAAAAATGGGGACCATACGTCATAGCACCAAAGGCCCACAAGAAATTTGCCCCAAATTGCACTCAAACCACAAGAACGTAAAATACCAAAAATAACTCCGAAAAAGACGAAAATAACAAATTTCAGATTTAGAGAGAAGTAAACAGGCTTGATCGTTGGATTGCATTAAGACGTGCGATTACAATCCACTTCTAGCGCTAGTCAAATCTAATAAAATGGACAAAAGCTCAAATCAAAGAGTCTCTCAGTTCTCTCTCTAACCCTAGCCTCCTCTCACACCATATAGATGACAGTGACCCTCCAAAGGCTTAGTCATTATCACTAACGACTGCAAATTTTCACCACTCAGGGTCGATGCAACATTTACCGCTCAAGGTCTGACGCATTTGATACAATGCTCAACGAGTCATCTTCTTCCTCATGACCTTCACAATCCCCGGCATCCTACGACCGAAGGCCTCCCTTAGAGCTTGTCCTGTTAGTCTTCAATTCAAGGGGATTGATTACAAGTCAAAATCATTTAATCCCCTCGACTGAAGACTATCAGAACAAGCTCTTAGTTAGTCTAAGGTCGGCAAAAGTTTAACCCTTCATGGGAAGGCGTCCAACTGTACTTTCCCCCCAAAATTCAGTCGACTGACGTCAGGTATGAAAAAGACAAACAAAGTAGACAGCAAGAAATCAAGAGCTCCAGCAATGAAGTATAAAAGGTGCTCCTCTTCCACAATCACACTGTAACAGAAGAAAAATCTGGCACAAGATCCCAGATTTTGCACTACTTCCATGAACACATATGTACTGGCACCATGAACAACCATGACCAGGCAGCTAGCTCCCTATCTCTCTTGTGGTAGCTAAGGTACAGGGAGTACCACGCTGGGTAGCTAACACTAGTTGATGTACTGTGACACCCACTTAAACCCATCGCCGTACCCCATCTTGCGAACAACGCTGCACATGAACACCTCCAGGGGGCGGACGTTGGAGTCGCCCAGGTTAACCTTGCCCTTGCCAGTGGTGAAGTTGCTCAGCCCCATGTGGTAACGGAGTTCCTCCTCGGATGCGGCATAAGGGATGTCGATCTTGTTCCCCAGGATCAGGAACGGGACAGTGGCCAGGGAGTCATCTGAAAGGAGCGCATCTAGCTCCTTCTTTGACTCAGCAAACCGCTCCTTGTCATAGGCATCCACGAGGTAGACCACTGCATCCACCTATATCAGAATGAAAACAGGAAGGTTCAGCAAACCAAATGTCGAAAGCACACACGTCCAGTTCCACCAGCACTCACAGTAACACCGTAAATTTGGAAGTCAAGATTTGATCATGAGGAATAATAAAAGTAGGCTATACAAGTATGCAGCAGGGCACCAAAGCAGAATCTCTAAGTGCCATAGTAGGATATGTTTCATCAGTCATCAGATCATTGCATGATTTTGGTAAAGGTATGCTTCAAACTAAAAGTGCTTCGGATATAAAGTGAGGACCTAATGCTTTATCTAAGAAACAATTTCCCAAATCCAAATACCTCGTTAAAACCCTGTACCTTCTAAGGTTCAATTTAGACATATAAAGTCAGACATTTGAAGTGGACGAAACAGTTTTATTTTCATCCAAGACAACAGGTACTAGCAATCCATGCGTACTAACATAACAAATTCAGCATCAGTGTAGCAATGTAAGTCCTCCCTATGAAGATGCACCTTGCAAGGAAGATGCATTTCTGTCAGGTACTCCTAATTGTCTTGTATTCCTAATGTCTCTTCTATCAGGAACTCACACTTAGTTTCTTGTTTGTGGGCTTAGTTTATTTGCAGTTTCTAGTTTGGACATTCTCTGGACCCTACCCATCCTTGGATCCCTCTCTATACCTCCCCCATCTTCAAACCTTTATACTCTGCCCTTTTACCTAGAGTAAACTCCAGACTCTATTTCAAATGTCTCTATAATCTATATTGGCATATAGTCACTTTATTCAGCATTCTCATATTACAGAAGTATATCCCATCATATTACGGAAGAATATCCCAATGACTAAGCCTACTCCACCACCTCATAGAACAATAGAAAGCTAAAAAAGATGAAAAGTATAAGGGGGTGTTTGGGACTGCTCCACAAACTCTACCGTGGAGCAGCCCATAAAAACTGGAGTTTGTGGAGCACCTCTTTGGGTGCTCTCACAACTCCCTTTTTTTCTTTGAACAAAGTGCGTGGAGCTGAAACCATTTGGCTAAAAAGCGTGGGCAGAGCTGAAAAGCGTGGGCGGAGCAGTCCCAAACACCCCTAAATATTAGTTGCAAGAATAAATGCTAGTTGGGCACAAAAAACAGACAAAACCAGAAGTCCCGAAGAGCATAATTCCAAAAGATCATGGAATCTACATACTATCAAGCATATCTCCCACTAACAAACTAAAAGTTTGATGGCTGCACCAAGGTGACTAGCATATAGGGGTGGGCAATGGGCTACTTAATATTGTATGCACTAAACCCACCGACCAACTTGATGGAAATTTGGTAATAAGCAACAGGTGTTGCAAGTGGGAGCAAAAGTGAAGACCAACATATTCAATGTCCTCTGATAATGATGCCAACTAAAACATTTATCACCAGAAATGAAGCATGACTACTGTACTTCTAAAATACGGAACTAGAGAATTAGAAAAGGATAGCATGAAACCACCAGAAATCACAAGCATAGGATAAGAACACACTGATACAACTACACACCAAGTTATTAATATTGAAGAAAAAAAAGGAAGAGTAAGGTGGGACCTTAGCATAGTAATCCTTCCAAACACGACGAGCAATCTGATGTCCTCCTAAATCAAATGCCTTGAACTTGATCTTCCCAATACTCAACTCTTCAGAAGTTGGATATTGTGTAGGTTGATGCTGAACCAATCTCTGCCAAAAAAAACACAGATCCCAAAAAGAAATTCCATGAGCCTACAGATGTTAAAATATAAACTGCATAGAACTTTCCTTTGTTATCTGCTTAGCTTCAGCACATACAATTTTTCAGCAGGATTCTAGTTCTTATTGATAACTGTTCAAGTAACATATCTAAAATTGAAGTTCGAATGAAAGAGACAACCTTTCCCCAGATTTTACAGCCTAGAATTCCAGAAAATCGATAGGTTATCTTAAGCCCAAATAACTGAAAGAAGCAAACTATTCTTCAGAACATGGAACTTTTCCAGGTCTAGCAAGCAATCCAGAGCTCAGAGAAATGGTCAAGCCAGACCAAACAAGGCAACCCCTGAGTCTTCAGAACATGGAACTTTTCAGGTGTAGAAAGCAATCCAGTGCTCAAAGAAATGGTTCAGCCATACCAAACAAGGCAACCCCGACACCAACATAAACTCGTACTTCCAAATCTGGGCAAAGGTACTGTCTATCCCCAGGGAAACCTTATCCAGGGTACTAGGGTAGGAAATGAAATATGAACGAATTGTTCCCAGTCCACAGTTTTGAGAGATTTCCAGTATCACTTTTGCAAGGCATGCTCTTGAAAGGGCTATACTTTGAATTATTACATAAAAACAACATAAAAAGAACACTCAACCCTTCAAATGGACATCTAGGGGTAGAAAACTAAAATTGGAGTGGAAACAAAAGCCTTCCAACCTAAAGAAATGCGCGCTCATCCACTTATTATATTTGCGCTTAGGCCTCTACAATTTTACTCCCGAAAGGATGTAACCACAGTACCACACAACTCCCCCTGAAACTAAAACTACACGAAGGTAACACACACAAGGATTCACCAGATCATCACAATTCCTCCAAGCCTCACCAAAACTAAAACTGTGGGACTTTCAAATCGAAACAGAACTCCGCAATTCACAAAAAAGCATCGACCGCATAGCTCAAAGGGACTGTTTTTTTTTTTTTGGGAAATAAAAATCTGGTAGACATATTAACCCAACCCATTCAGCCCATCCAACCATCCCGGGTAGAACCAACAACACACAGCATCAGTTTGGAAAAAGAATAGAAGAGATATTCTATCCCGACCTCGTCCTTGAGCATGTGGAGGAGCGTGGTCTTGCCGGCGTTGTCGAGGCCGAGGAAGAGGATCTTCGCCTCCTTCTGCCACAGCCCAAGCGACGCCAGCACCCCGTAGAACCAGTCCACCAGGAACATCTCCGCCCGCCCGCCCGACTACTCGACAGCCGGCGCGCAGCGCGCTTCTCTTCCCTGCCCCTCTCTCTAGGTCGCCGGAGGAGGAGGAGAAGGCGGCGGGCGGCGGCAGCGAGGAGGAAAGTCTTAACGGATCTTGGCGGCGGAGGGGGGAGGGCAGCAAGAGAGATGATGAGGACATATGCGAGGAGGTCCCTGAGCATGACAGGTGGGGTCGGACGCTTGGTGGGGCCGGCTTAGCAGATGGGGTAAGTAGTGGTTGGTGGTTGGTTGGTTTGGAAAGATACCGCGGGCCGCGCCGGGCGCACGCGGCGGATTCCCATTTCTTTGTCTACGTGGAACATATTTCTACGTATGTCGACGATACAGCCATACATACGGGTAGGGTTTTCTACGGCGGCTGTCAAAACACTCTGACTTCATTTACTGTATGACACCATTTCAAAATTTAAAACTACTCCTGCTGCTTCTTGTGATTTTTCTTGAAAGGATGGCTACGTTCTTTGAGACTTTGACAGTGATATGGTCCCGTTTGCTGGTCTGTAACTTGGTTGAAATTGACTGAAAAACACTGTTCTGGCTGAATTATTGCGAGAGAAAAACACTGTTCTGGCTAAAAAAAGAAGCCGAACAGGTCGAATATGGGGTAAGCCGAACAGGGCCATAAGACTAAACATGCATTCATTTATGAGGTTTATATTTATATATTTTTTAGTTGGAACGGGCGGCCGTATAGTGGGTATAAGTTCACTTCAACAAATAATGAGCTGGGACTGGTGCTGGTTTGGGCTGGCTGGTGCTGGTTTTTTTGAGAGGAAAACATTGTTGGCTGGCTGGTTTGGGCTGGCTGAAACCAACAAGCAAACCAGCGAACAGGCTGAATAATAGAAACAGGGTTACCAAAAAATTAATAAAACATTGGAAGTGAGTAGGTACTAGAAAACTCAGAGCGCGCCGCGCCACCTTTGAGATGACCAGCGGTGTTTTCACTATTGTTGATAATTATAAGTTCAGAGATACTGAAAAAATAATCTTTATGCTACCGATGCTAGAAAAGGCCCGAAGAAGGTGATGAAAGCATATCTCAGAAATCCATCAATTGTAGATTTTCTGGAAGCATATTTCGACATAAGATTACAGGTAAAACGATAGAAATAAGGGATATCCAAGCTCTGCAATTTTGGGCTTGCAAAGATAGTTTTATTCAGAGCATTTGTAGCACAAGCTAAAATTACACATCTATTCTTCTGATGCTTGCACAGCAGTTATGGCCATCCCTTTGGACTTCAGTCTCTTCCTCATCAAGAATCAATCCGTAGAAAAAGTATGTAGCAGCCTGGATAGAAGGAAAACAAAAACAAAATTACACTATTTAAATGTACACGGATCAAAGGACAATTACCTATTGGGGAAAACATTTGTGCTCTGGCCAGGAAATTAATTAAGTGGCTTGTCAATGATTATAGATGCAATTTAGAAACCAAAGACATAAGAGCAATGACAAAGAAGAGGGATACATCATACATGGTATCTGAAAGTGAAGTGAGCCATACTGTGAAGAAAGCAAAATTGGAAGTGCAAGAGCAGGACATTTAATTGAGGAAAATTTTGAAGCAATACAAGGATGCAAACCTTTGGTGCCTACTGAAGGATGGAATCGATCGACTAATTAAATTATCAAAGGCTGGCAGCTTAATGCTGAAGACCATGGAGTTTTGGTGTAAAATCTTGTTACTTATCGAGCAGCAGCAACACGGCTGGATTTGCTCGCTCCCGGGCCAAATCTGTACTGTATGTGTGCCTCGTCCAAGTCATTTCTACCTGCCGCGCCCTTGCATCGAGATACTGCCACTGTCTGCCTGCCACTGTAGCGAGCCGCTGTCGCGCGTCTCTCCATCTAGTCAAGAGGTTCTTCCCCCAGTCTGCAGATCGAGCAACGCAAGCCCTCGATTGTTCCCGGCCATCAGCAGGTCGCTGCTCACCTATGACGAGAGTGTTCGGCTGGCATGGATTATTTATCGTTCATGCTGGAAAACACTGTTTATGCTAAAATGTTGTGAAAGAAAAACACTGTTCCAGTTAAAAAAATAAGTCGAATAAGCCGGCTTGTAGCTCAGCCGAACACTCCCACTAGTGATCAGGTCCCGGAGGAGTGCCATGGAAGAGGCCGGCCGCCGGCGGGCGGCGCGGCTTGTTCGTGCATGCTCGCTGTCATGGCCAGAGCTTACATCGGAGGTAGCTCTTGCCGGGGTCTGGGGGCGAGGCTGGGCTCAATTGACGCAGCGGGAGTAGCGCGGGTTGGAGACTTGCGAGCTCCTGGCAGCGAACCCAAGCCTATGCACGACCGCGGTTACGCCTGTTCTGGACATATGACGTACTTTCTAGATTAGTGGCTGCACATGCAAAGGAATCAATGGCTGTAGATGTACCTCGAATTAGATCAAACGGTGAACAAAATATAGATGACGTGGCCACATATGATGCTGGAGACGTGGCAAAATGTGATGCCGGAGAGTATGGTGCGAAATTCATCAAGTAAAAGATTGTGTGCATGTTTTTCGTGATGGCATGGGTGAAACAAAAAGGTAACTGTTTTTTTCTCTAAACTGAAACTTTAATGTGCTTGGCAAACTTAGCGTGAAAGTTTGTTAAGATATCACAAACAAAATAATATGTTGAAAATGAATTTATATGCATGTAAAACAATTTTTTTTTAGTTTGTTTGCGAAATATGAACACCTCCCAAAGACTATATTGGGAGATCCTGAGATTAACCGTAACAACAGGCATCGCTGTCAACGGGCACGTCGTTTAGCAAAGCTTAAAACTTAGGGTAGGCTCAGGTGGTTCTGAACTCGGATCAAGCTCGACTTAATCCTCTAACAAGCTCAAGCTTGATACAATGAGCTTGCTCCAGATACACTCATTTAGTGAACCAAAGAGACATATAAAATAATATATTAAGGAGATTAATAGTTTGATTTACGAGTTCGGAAGAAATGTACCTATATATAGAGTATCCATATAAAATACAATTAGTAAAGGCAAAAATTAAATAAAAGTGATCAAAATTAATAGTTTGATCTTCAAATTAATTGGCAAGAAAAAACTAAATGAATAGTCGATATAAATTATAATAAAAATATCTAAATTCAACATTGAAAAGGAATCGGGGTTATCCAAAGTTTAAGTTTACAAGAGAACCAAGGAATGGGAAAATATTTCCCGAGATTTGGATAGTGGTTTTATCAATAAACTGAGCTCACTAAAAAAGAAACTTAAGTCTTCCTTGGTTTGGCTTCAACTCAAAATGCACAAGCACATGATAGGAGTGCGAAAATAAGGAATTGAAGATGAGAATTGAGAATAGTTTTAAGACAATGAATTGGTTGGTTGTAGCTATTTGTAGTGTATGCTAATATAAGCATCATGTGCATAGAGAGAAGAAAATTTACAAATAAACAACTATCTTTTAAAAATATTTTGAACTCAAAACATCTAGATGTTATTACGATGAAAGAAAAGCCACCCACACGGGCCACCTTGCTAGTTGGTAGTATACACTTGGGTTTTTGTGTACAAAGTTTATATTAAAAAAAGGAATAGTCAAAGCGAAAATAGAAAAAAAACTAACAAAATGATCAATCACATACTCCCTCAATTACTAGTTACGTGTCATCAAAAGTGGTTCATATTTGACCAAATTTCTAGTGTATACTATGAAAATATATTTCATAATTAATCTAATGATATTTATTTGATATCATAAATATTGATATTTTTTATCTATAATTGATCGAACTTATGATACTAAACCATGACACTGTGCTAGAATTGCATTCTTTCCTGAACGGAGGGGGTATGGGAAAAAAATGGATGTAGTATATTGTTGGCATTTCTTAACGTCGCTACTAAGAACAAGGTTTTGAATTTAATTTCTAGCAACGACGCCAGAAATGCTTATTGGTATTTACTTGTGACTTGAAAGAATAAATGTATGAATAGATAATATACCACTGTAGCACTTCACCCGAGAGTATTACATGTATCGTTATTTATATTTTTACCACATGGAAGGACAAACAGTTGGAATATATTGATAACTTATATGCAAGATGGAGAGATAAACCATAACAAAACTTTTACTCACAACAGGGGTAAGTCGATAGATAATTGTATATGATAAGTAATGATTGCTGATAATTAATCACTCAAAGTACTCTTTTCTATGGCATTAGTGTGGCTAAGTAGAATATTAGAGGAATAATTCCTAAGTCATTCTTAATTACAAGTCAAAGCATACATTGATTAGTGCAATTACACTTAGTAATCATGGTTAAGATCAACTTTATATCTACACATAAGGGATATTACTAAGGAAGATTAAGAACAGAGCTTGTCTTCCTTCGTAACTAGATCCTACTTGTCCTATATTCGAGGAGTGGACTACAAATGACTCAACGGGAGTGTCACATCCGTGATACCATATGGCCTGGAATATAGGGTGTATCCGCAGGTAAACAACGTATAAGCACCACGCTTACACAATGTCGACCACTCACCCCCTTGTACTTTGGAGCGAGCGCTATACAAACCTATGCTTAAACATAATGCTAATCTAACTATACTAAGCATATAATCAAAGTAGACGATGAACATGATAACTAGGAACATGATTAATATAAGAATCAATGTCAAAACAATTATAGCAAACATATAAAAGTAACGAGAGATACAAAAGAAAGGGGGTACAAAGACTATACCAAGCCACGCTCTTGACAAGATCAGAAATCCAAGCGAAGCTTGCCTCCCTCTAGACCTAGCCTAGCTAGCTATGCCCTAGAATATGGTGGAGCTCTGAGGATGATTAGGGTTTCTGTATTCTCAAATGACTTGATGCCTCGGGGGTGGCGGAAAGGGGCTGGTATATATAGCCGGGCGTCAATCCTAAGCCTTGAATCAAACCGACTTGAATGGATGGCGTAGATGCAACCTAACAGAGT